AGAAAATGGCCATCATATGGACTTATCATTATCAAAAAGGAACTGGTAAGGTGGGGGCTGAGCAAGTTTTCCTCATATTACTGTGACAAAGAATGATTTATTTCAAGCCCACTCCATGGAAAATAGCTATGCCTCAAAAATTTTAAGAAGCCGAGTACTTGCCATGTTTAATGAAAATACACTTCGGAAATGGTACAGTAATTTGGAATAAGATAGATAATCTTACTTCTTTCCATACTGCATTCTCAGGCATATTTACAGAATAGCTAAACATCAGATTAGATAACCAGCAACATGTAAGTACTCTTTCCTTTCATTCTTCATTAGGGTTATAAAAAAAATCAAGCTGCACAAATGATTTGTGAATACACATATTGCCAAAGAAGTGATTTTTATCACTTTGTATTATCTATTTCCCTGACATGTCTTGAAGACTTGGACTTAATGATGACTGTGAAACTAAATCTTCTAGATAGAACAACTAGTCAAATTTGAATTAAAGCCACACTCTCCAGGGCCACTCACTACTAATGCCAACAATGGAAAGAAGAATTTGGTGTTGGTCCTGCAAGTGTGTGAAAGTCGTGATTTATAAACTCAGCAGTGTTTATGTAAACTATGATGCTTATTAAAGGTAGATTCAGGCCTTAGTTTGCTACCTTTAAGTCAGTGTTTCTTCAGTAGCCAAGAAAGCTGAACTATCTGCCTTGATTACATAAGAACCCCAATGCCAGTACTTTGCCACTGCTGTGTTAGTTTCCTGATACTGCTTTCTTTAGCCAGTTCTGTGCCTAGGGAAAAATTTAAATGGTGCCATTCATCAGTAAATGGAGCAATACATCCCAAAATCTTATCTCTACTTGCACACCTGACATATAGCAAAGTTCCTTTACTACAGTTTAAAGGCCAGTGTGTAGATAACCTTAGGCAGAGAACTGCAAGTTAATCACACAGTTGGGCAACTGACATCATCCATAAATTCTTCAGATATAATGGCACCAGCATGCTAATTTATGTGAACTGATGTCCATTTGCTTATCATGGACTGGAAACTGTTTCATGTAAAACAAAATTCTAATGCATCATATGGAGTTATAGCCAATGCTAATTGCTTTTGGCATATTTCCCCTTGTAACCATTTAGCCAGCTCTTAGAGATGGTAAATGCACCTTTAAGAATGTTTCAAAAGAAACTATTTTCCCTTAAAATTAAATACATTAACTTCACTGAGAATAATGAAATTTATTTTCATGCATACATTTATAAATGAAACCATCGAACTAATCCATATTGAGATGGAATACAATACATATTGGTACTAAAGTAAAAATAGATGCTAGAGATGAGGATTTATTACTAAAATCTAAATAATAAAATATAGTGGAATAAATATTTAAGAACAAGGTTCTTACTTGCTTCATAAAGAACTTCCTATATCTTTTAGGTAAAAGAGAACTCACGACTAATGAAATAATTTCATCACTACACTAAACTGGAGCTAAACTGTACAAATGTTAGGAAAAATCTGAGTATGTCCTTATGTAGACAGAGTTTAGGGTTCAAATTTGTTCTTTTCCATCTCTGAACGGATTCTTTCAAACACTACGTAACTCCTAGGGACTCTACTGGGAACACCACCAGCCACCAGACCTAGTGGTTCTGTAGCAGTGGGAAGAAATAGGAATGCTGGAGGAATTTAGCCAGTCTAGTAGCTAAAGCTGAGAGTTATCTTCAGTTTGTACCAAGGCAGTGCCTTAAGTCTGTTGAGTCTATCAGTGCCATACCCAGTCTGTTAAGTGAGTAGAAACTCACACATAATATGACTATTATTATTTAATTGTATTTTAGGTCAATTTCTGTTAAATCAATTTCTGTTAAACTTAATTATATTCCTCTATGGCTTTAAACTGGGGCAGCTTCTATTAAGTTTACTTTCTCTTGGGGTTTTCACACCAAAGACAAATGATAAAGGTCTGGCTACTAAATGAGGGCAGCTATTAAATAAGGACAGTATGTATTGAAGCTGAATGGTAAAGATGTGGCTACAGGTTGAGAAAAGCACTTAGAAGTGTCCTTTAATTAAAAAAAACATGGATAAAGGAGGAATGAGAAGAAAACAAACTTTGGTCAATAACTCTTTTAAGATATTCTTATAAGAAACTTAACAGAATGTCCAAAGTTTCATGAGAACTTCCTCTGAAGTTTCTCTTAGAAATGAGTGAGGGATGATTTGATATAGGCTCCTCCTGAATGAAAGAGGAGAAAATTAGGCACAAATCCTGGCTCTGGTGTCCAAAAGATAGAAAGACTTGCAATGTGTTTTTACACAGGCATTGACAAATAAAAATTCTGCCAGTGTTACTCTAGAATAGATAAGACAGAGAAATGTACAGTGTAGTTCAACTCAGAATTACATCATAATTCTAGAAAGAACAAATTTCAAACAAATTTTTGAAATTAAAAATATCTTTTTCTTTTTTGTGGGGGAGGCAGGGGCCGGTTTCATGTATTCATGTGCATTATTTAATCTTCCATGTTGTGTTGCTTTATGGTGTTCTAGAAACGTGAAATACTCAAAGGCAGTCTAATCTGAGTGCACAAGTGTATCAGTCTCTCTGCCTATCAACAAGTAAATTTGCATAATGTTGATGTTTTAATAAAACCCAGCCATTTCATAAATGCATTCCTTCTATTTCTGACAATTCCTTGTGTTTTTTACAGTGCACAGTTGCAATCATTTTTATATGCAAAAATGTTTATGAACAGTGAGGTTATACTTTTTCAGAGCCAATGTGATGGCTAATGAAAATATGAGAAGAATCTTTCCTCCACCTGGCTCAGTATTCCACATAAGAAACACAGTGGGCCACCTTGGGGCCAAAGTAGTTGGCAGCAGCTTAGCCCAATGACAGGAAAAATCTGTTTGGCTGAGGGCCTACACCTAATCCTCACTAAACATCTGTTAGATTTCATAAGAAGAATGTTGAAGGTGATATACATATTAGTTTTCAAATGTACCCCAGTAAAGGGATTACTGCAGTGATTCTTGATTGCACTTGGCAACTCATGTGTTTTAAAAACAGAAACAACAGTAATATCCATTTGTCCAAATTAGCTCAACAATTAATTTTTAACTTTCTAAAATTGAAAAGACAGATTTTTTTTTTTTCACCTGAAAGACATGTATTTCTGTGAACTCTGGAACACAGAACTCAAATTAGCAAAATATCAATATATCATTTGCCAGATAAGAGCTCACACAGACCAACTTTAACACATTTTGATGTACTTGAATTCATACTGCTCATGTTACATGTTAAAGAGCACAAAAGTGTTTCTTGGTTAAAATATCTATGCAGTGCATAGGCTTTATGGTTTTTAATGGTTTTTAACCTAAACTAAATACTAGGGAATTTGATCAATATGTCAAAGTACTGAAAACCAAATATTTTTGTAGTCTTCCAAAGTTAGGTATACCCAGAAGAGATCTATAGTGGATGTGGGAAAATAAAATACAAAGTTCCAGGCAATCCATGTTCACAGTGCAGGAGGAATACCACTTGCTATCTTGTTTTGTTGGCACACATCGAAGGTCAATCTAAGCAACTACTTACGAGCCATGGTCTAGGTTTAGGCAGGGAATGGAAAAGAGTGATAGAAAAATTATGAGCAGAGAAGCATGTTCTGTTTCTGCAATTCATCCAGTAGTATGGATTTTAAACCAGAGAAGTCATGGCTTCACTTATTTTCCAAGATTTTGTCTAGTCATCCTAGAATTCTACCTTTTCAAGAAGAGAGAATATTTCAGGGATTTCAGATCAAGATAGCATTGAAGCTATAATAGAATGTTTAAGTCTGGTTTTGCTGAGTTGTGACCTAAATTTCTGCATAGAATACACTTAAATGAATAATAATGAGAGATCAGAGGTAGGTGATTATCAGTATGGTTCATTATATGTAACAATGTAATGCACAAGAAATAATGTTATAACCAAGAGGATGTAGCACCAGCTGTACCGTGGTAGAATAATATCATAAAAAAACAGCAAGTTGGATAATCCTGGATTTTTTCATATATAACATGCATATGCTGCTTTATGTAACAGTCTTTGCCATGTGATTTAGACAAGATTTCTAGAAACACTGGTTTACTAGACTCCCTTATATTTTGTACTTGAGATTTGTCTCAGACATTCTGAACGGCAAACACTGCATGGATTTTGTCCAACAGCTTTCATTTACACTAAGAGAGTAATGATCATGGTCAGCCAGCATTTCATATGTTTGTTTCCACTGATGTCTGAGTAATGGTCATGGATCAGGAAATCAAATCTACCAAAGGGAAATAATTACGTCTATCTTAGGGAGGTTTCAGCTTAAGTACAGGTTTCAGCTTAAGTAAAATGGATGGATAGGAGAAATAGAGTAAGAACATAGAGCAAGAACAGTTCTAGACAGAAATCTGACAAGCTATTGGTTCTCTTCTGTAACTATGAAAAAAATCTGCTTTACTGCATCCACATCAGTTTCTTTCCAATTAATATTCATAGTATGGCTCATGCATGAAACTTAAATCCAATCATGCCCTTGCATTCATTGTCAATAATCCATATTAAAAACAAATTATAAAAATAAATTTTTGGTTAGCTTGTGTATACTGGGGAAAAAATCTAGTTAAACAAACCCTATTTAGGGCATAATAACCTACAAGTTCTGAGCATAGGTGAATAGCCAAATCCATTTTTCTTAAACTAGTACAAACTCAGAGCACACCTAATGAATTCAAAGAAATTATTCAGAATTCATAACAGTGTAAATGAAAACAGAATGTGGTGCAATATGAATAGGCACAGGATAAAGAGAATGATGACTGATATATATATATATTTGATGATGGAGGGGAACCTACACTCAAAGAAATAGTTTAATTAGTGCCACAAATTTCTACAAATAAAAGAAGAGCAAATGAATGCTTTACCACATAGAGCTTTTCTCTTTACCTGACAAACTCATTATTCATAGAAACAGCTTTCAGGTATTTCTTCAGTGCATAAAAATTATGGATATACTTCCGAACGTAATAGCCTCGCCACGTTTTCTGGATCTGGAGGAAATAAATACTTGCTTAGTATATTTCAAATCAGAAGTCTGCATGCATATCAAATATGTGTACTAGATCCCAAGTACCTCTTTCCTTAAAAGTGATAGCAAGTAGAAGCACTGGTAAGTTTCAATGAAGAAATTAGTGAAGGTTGTAACATATTGTAGCACTGAGTCACCACCTCCCCAACATCTCCTGCTACACTTTCACCTTTGTGCTCTGCAAAGGTGTAAAGTGAACAAAAGGTTTCCCTGAAAATCAATGAATCAGACTTTCTGGAAAGTACATTTATAAATTGTACTCCTTTTATCGCCAATGTAAAATGATTCATGTCTATTTGTTCCACATTAGCTTCATTCTTCTCAAGAAAAACTATTCTCTTGCATAACAGAGAAAGCCTAGCCTAGAGAAGAAAAGCTCTTTATCTGTAGCTAGTTATAAATTTTTATTATTAATAGAAATTAGGTAGCATCCTCCAACAAAAAGCATTAATATTTTGGTGCATTTTGAAAAGCACCATTTGGAAAAAAAAAAAAAGGGTAGGAAAAAAGGTACTTAGTCTACTCAACTTTCCACAAGAACTGATTTTAACAAATGTGTTGAAACCTTATCTGATACTTGAAAATTCTAATAATGATGTTTCTGAAATCATTACTTGTTTATCAACTATTTGCTTTTTGGCATGGCAAAGTAAGCATTAAGAATGGAAAATTAAGCATTGGAATGGGCTGCCCAGGGAAGTGGTGGAGCCACCATCCCTGAAAGAGTGAGAAACAAATTAACATGGCACTTAGTGCCATGGTCTATTTGACAAGGTAGTGATCAGTCAAAGGTTGTACTCAATGACTTTAGAGGCCTTTCCCAACCTAGATGATTCTGTAATTAGATAAAAAGCTATCAGGACCACCACTTGGTGAGTTATATTTATCCCCATGCCACAACATGTAGAGGTGAAAGATATAACTTGCTCTATTCAGTCATACTGAGGGCTACTCCTACTCCTGATTTTCCTTGCCATAAGAGGTCAGTGTACTCTGGATGTCTACATCTGCAAAACAGAGTAACCATCTTTTCCTCTCTAGCTCCTCCATATTTAAATTGTTCCATCCTTGAATTTATTGCTAATTTTCCTGCAAAATATTCTTTATTTCCTTCATTGCATTTTGTCTCCTTTTTTTCTCAATTTTTTTTTTACTTTAATCTCACAATTTCTATCTTCTAGTCTGCAGTTGCTTTATTTGCTTCAACATCCATCTCTTTGACCTTTATATCTTTGAAATCTTAAAAGACATAACAGCTGAAAGGCAGAACCTAAAAAGCAAAAACTTGGAGGTTTTACTATCCAGAAGCAACTCCCCTTATCTAAACGCACAGAAAAGTAAAATGTTGCAATGTACTAAGGACTCTCCTTTTCCTGTGGGCATGTAGCTACCAGACTTTTCAGTGTATCTATAAGGAAGTTTTTTTTCTTTACATCAACCTTTCTCTTTCCAGAACCACGGAATGACTTTTTAAGTGGAGTGAAACCCATGTGTTTGTGCTATTTGCCATTTCTTCCTAGCCTACCTCTTTCTAAATAAGCAACTTTTTTAAAAAATGGAAGGAAAAGAATGTCATGGCTTTTGTGTTTGATTCAGGAAGAAGCTAATTTTAAAAAGCTGTCAAATGCCCAGATTATCAGTAACAACTGCACTCAGTAATTTCAGATTCTTTATGATCAAGTCTTGGGAGTGCTCTTCAGTAACAGGCAAAACTCACTCCATTCCTACCAGTTCCAGAGCAGTCCAATTCTGTACCGCTGTGACAACTGACAAAAGTATAAAATTTTTCCACCTCCAGACTTTTACTGGAGCCATCTAAAATGACACCAAGGCAGGGCTGAATATTTCATACTTTGGCACCATTTTGCATTCACACACCCCCAAACACTATTCTTCAAAGTAAAAATCAACATTTGGCCTCAACTGATGGCACCTTGGGGTACAGTTATAATTATCCTTTTACGCAAGATTTAACAA